AGCATGAAGGAGAAATGGGATAGGGGAAAGTCTTAGAAACTTAGTAAGAGTCCAGGTACAAGATGATCAGGGTCTGCACCAAAATCAAGGCAGCAGGGAGGGGGAGAAAGGGAATGGTCAGAAACACCTATGACATTTCTAAGACTGGGCAACTGGACAGTGACCACTTCCTTGATTAAACATTGCAGACTGACCACATCTCTCCTGAAAACGCACTGAGAAGACAGAAACGGAATGAAACAGGCATAAAACCACAAACACAAAGAGAATGAGAGCGGAAAAATAAAAATAAGTCTTGGAAGATGGAAAGGTGACAGTGGTGACAGACTGAGCAGAGCAGAGGAGAATGAGCCCTAGGACCAACAGAGAGGGTGCTGACGGAGAGCAGCCCAGTTCATTCTGGCAGACCTGATTCAGGACCAGGAAGCACCACATTCCAACCGGTGGTAGAGTATAGGGGGCTGGTGGGAGGTCTCTATTTGTTGTACACCAAGATGCTTTTCTCTGCCTATGAAGCCAAGTAACAACCCCTTCTGTTGTTCAATACCCTCCCCAAGGGGGCTTTCCTTTGAGAAAAATCAAGCCAGAGAGTACCCCAATGTGGCACAGCAGACACAGCAAAGAGTGGGAAAATGGAACTTGAAGCCAGGAAATTAAATGAACATCTATACCCTAAACAGTGAGATACCCTTCCAACTCACTCATCTCATCCTGTTCCCAGAATACAAGTACCTGTGTGTCCCTCAGGCAAGGGATTAAAGAACTCCCCTCTAGAGGAACACACTGAAGAGCCCAAGAGAAAAACCTTTAGATATTCACATTTGGGGGTCCTCTAGTAAAAATGCTAGCCCATTACTCCTTATTCTACAGCAAGGTAGAATCAACAAGCCCTGCTAATGTACACAGCTCTTCTAAACGGTTTTTTAGTACTTTGCTTAAAAAAAAAATAGAGACAGAGTCTTACTCTGTCACCAAGGCTGGAATACAGTGGCATGATGATGGCTCATTGCAGCCTCAGCTTCCCAGGTTCAAGTCATCCTCCCACCTCAGCCTCCTGAGTAGCTAGAATGACAGACATGTGCAATCACACTTGGCTCATTTAAAGAAAAATTTTTGTAGACACAGGGTCTCACTCTGTTGCCCAGGCTGGAGTGCAGTGATGTAATCACCACTCATGCAGCTTCAACTTCCCAGGCTCAAGCCAACTTCCCACCTCAGCCTTCCAAGTAGCTGAGACTATGGGCATGTGCTACTATACTACCCCACTAACTTTTTACATTTTTTATAGAGACCAGATCTCATTATGTTGTCCAGGCTGGTCTTGAACTCGTTGGCTCAAGCGTTCCTCCTGTCTCAGCCTCCCAAAGTGCTGGAAGACAGGTATGAGCCACGGTGTCCAGCTAGTATTTCACTTTTAAGTACAAAAATAAGTAAAAAAGAAGTCAATGGGCATTTTAGTAAAAGCCTCTGAGAGAGAGAGAGAGAGAGAGAGAGAGAGCCAAACTAAAGAGAAAAGCATTAAAGAAAACAGGAACAGAGAAAGGAGCAGAAAAACTTTTACAATTACTTTTACTTTTATTTTTAGTGACGGGGTCTTGCTCTGTCACCCAGGCTGGAGTATAGTGGAGTGATCATAGCTCATTGTAACTTTGAACCTCTGGGCTCAAGAGATCCTCCTACTGTAGCTTCTGGAATAGCTGAGGCTACAGGCACATGCCACCCTGCCCAGCTAACAGTCTTTTTAATTTTTGAAGATGTGGAATCTCACTATGTTGCCCAGGCTGCTCTTGAACTCCTGGCCTCAAGTGATCCTCCTTCCCCAGCCTCCCGAAGTGCTGGGATTACAGGTGTGAGCCACCATGTCCAGCCCCAGAAAGAAAATTTTAAAGAGGAATATAAATAATACTATCAGAGGGCTGAGATAAGCCATTGGACCCATAGAACAAAAATAGATGATGTTCAAATTGAAAAAAAGAGGCGCAAGGAAAAATTACAACCAGGAGGTCTTAGAAATTAAAAACTGGATAGCTGTGGCATAGACTGATAGTTGCTACCCTATCTCTCCTTTCATAGGAAAAAAAAGATGAAACACATAATTTTATGTGAAGTAGCAATATGACTGGTTAAAAACAATTTCTCAGCCTTCTTTGGCAGTTTGTTGTAACCACATGACCAAATTCCAGCCAATGAAATACAAGAAGTGTGGAAAGGGACTTTTGAGGAAGCCTCCTCCAAATGACTCAGTTTAGAGGTTTGCCCTTTTGCCCTTTTTCCCCTTCCTTTTTTCCAGTGCCTGGAATATAAATGTAATGGCATGACCCCAGCAAGCACATGCTGGATCCCAGGACAATATATGAAGGGTGATGGTAAAGCAAATGACAGAGGCGCATGGGTCTCTTAGGACCATAGAGCCTCCATGGCAGCCCTGGGCCGCCCACCTCTAGCTCCTTGTGAATGCACTCGATGAAATCGCTATTATTTTGTGTTTTTTATTATGCTCAGTCAAAACTAATCGTGACTGATATAATCAACATTAAAAAAAATCATTAGAAGCCTTGGGAGAGAAAAATCTCTGAAATATCCCAGGAAAAAAACAAACCAAACCAAACCAAATAAATAAACAATAGGAAAGAGAAAAGAAAAGAAAATTGGAGAACCATTTAAGATACAAAATTGAGATGACAGAGCAGGGATGGGGGGATGGGGGTGGGGAATTATCAAAGAAAGACTATGTAAAAGCATGAATTTTCTAAGAAATTTCTTGTTTCCTGGATCTGACACAGAAGTGTGGTAACAAGAGGAATTCTAAGATAACAGCTTTGTAGCAGACCTAGCAAATGAACAATCTCGAGTGGAACAGAAGGATGGAGCCATAGGACAGAGCGGGGAAAGAAGTGAATATATTTCTGAAGAATTGGAGCACTTTGCGAATAACAAGGAGAGGCATTTGACAGATCTGCCAGAGCCTTTAAAGAAAAATGATGACAGAAAATCAAGCAAAGAAAAAACTAACGCAATTATTAACACCAGGAAACAGCAAAAGTTAAACAAAAAAGGAAATGTAATCATAGTGTAACATATGGCTCATAACTGAGCAATAGTTATCTAGTCATGATAAGAAGAATACTAGCTTTTAATTTTAAAACAAACAAAACTGTGGGATAACTACACTGGGGGCTTTAGATGAGAAGTCAGAGTGGCATATAAGAGTTAAATCCAGGCAGGACACAGTATCTCATGCCTCTAATCCCAGCTCTTTGAGAGGCTGAAGTGGGCAGATCACTTGAGGTCAGGGGTTCAAGACCAGCCTGGCCAAAACATGGTGAAACCCCATCTCTACTAAAAATACAAAAATTAGCTGGGTGTAGTGATGGATGCCTGTAATCCAAGCTACTTGGGAGGCTGAGGCAGGAGAATCACTTGAACCTGGGAGGTGGAGGTTGCAGTGAGCTGAGATCGCACCAAATCCTCATTTACCATAAGAGGTAGTCAAAAGATGATGGTGGAAACTGACATATCAAGAAGTAGCAGTGCCAATACATGATTTAGTAACAGATTAACTGAAGAAGCAATTTTGGTTCAAAGTGGGATTTTCTGGGAATGGGACTGGGAGTAGAGGAGGGTAAAAGGGGTGATTATGTGACTTTTGATATTATTTGGCTTATTAAATTATACAGTTATTACATTGATTAAAATAAAATAAATTTAAATTTTTAAAGCTTCCCAGCAATTTAGAGGCAAACAAGGAAAAACAGGTTTCCGAGAAAATGTAAAACACTAGTTTTGCGGGGTTTGTTTTGTTTTTGTTTTTGTTTTGAGACGGAGTTTCACTCTGTCTCCCAGGCTGGAGTGGAGTGCTCTTGGCTCACCGCAACCTCTACCTCTTAGGTTGAAGCAATTCTACTGCCTCAGCCTCATGAGTAGCTGAGATTACAGGCACCTGCCACCATGCCCAGCTAATTATTTGTACTTTTAGTAGAGACAGCGTTTCACCATGTTAGTCAGGCTGGTCTCAAACTCCTGACCTCAAGTGATTCGCCCTCCTTGGCCTCCCAAAGTGCTAGGATTACAGGCGTGAGCCATGGTGCCCAGCCAAAACACTAGCTTTTACACATCTTCTTCTACGTTCCTCATCTCCTCCTCTTTGCCCACACCTGTGTATTTTTATCTCCAGGGGCAGCATAATGTAGAGGAAAGCACATGGGCCTCAAATACAAGACAATACAATGCAGGGTGATGTCCAGCTGTGCAAAGAATCAGCTCAGAGTCTTCTCTGTGACCTCATGGGGACACAAGGTCTTCATTTGTAAGACTGAAAATGCTAATATCTATTATATTACACAAAGTAATAGATGTAAAGCACCTAGAATATGGTAGGTCCTTGAAAATGTGAGTTCTCGCTTTCAGAATTTCTCATGCCCTATATGCCTCTCTGTGAGTGTCTCTCTCTGTGTCTCTGTGTTTATAGATTTGAGAAAACAATGCTTAAGCCACCTTCCCTCCATCCCCTCTTGCCTGGTTTGGGAGGTTCATCTTCCATAAAGAAAACATTGTGTCCTTGACACATAGTTTATCACAACACACTTCCACTTCTCTTGTAAGAAGAGATTGATTTTACTCACATTGGCATTATACTTCAGTTCATTTTTGAGTGAAAAGAGATTGATACCCAATTACTAGCTGTGGCTCCCAGGTCTAATACACAGGAGTAGACAGAAATTACTGTTTAAACTTAACTATGTATAACAAAGTAGAATTACAAATAATTCAGCTGATACCTGGATATAATGTTTTAAAATAAATTTTGCAGAAAATTAACAAGGATTTTTTTTTTTTGCATTTTAGGTTTTGGGGTACATGTGCAGAACATGGAAGATAGTTGCATAGGTTCACACAAGGATTTTAAACCCAGCTATAGCTGGTCTGTGATAACTGGGCGGGTAGGATAATCAGTGGTCATCCCCAAATACGAGACCCCAGCGTGATGCCAGGCCACTCACCTCCACTGGGCTCAGACTGGCTGCACAGCTCAGACACAAGTTGCTCTCCATATGTTCCCCCAGGCTGAGTCCCTTCACTCCTGGAAGTCTGCTTGTTCCAGCAGGACTCCTGCCCCTCCCAGGAGGCAGCGGACAACCCATCAGAGATCTCGGCAGGGAAAGAAGGAGGGGATTTGAGGTCCAAGAGGAAGCTATCTTGGAGGGTCTGCTTGGTTGCCTTCTTGCTTTTCCTCTTCTGATTCTCTGGGGTCCTGTTACTCTCTCCTTCCCTGGGCCGGCTACTCTCAAGCTTCCTGGTTAGCTGGAGGAGCTGATCCATGTCCTTGGTAAATTCCAGCAGTGTGCCCTCCAAGACACTTTGGGCAGGTCCCTCAGAGCCATAGTTGGGAGCTTTCTCTAAGAGCAGGTGCTCAGAGCAATGGAGGCCTTCTGGGCCCTCCCTGAGCACTGGCTCAGGCACTGGGGGCAGGCTACAGGAACTCATGGACAGGGAGAAGAAAGAGTAGTCCACTGCAACATATGTCAGCATGAAGTTGATGGTGACAATGGGGGCCAGAATGTTCACCTGACCCACAAGGACAAAGGCCATGGTCACCAAGCTGGTCAGGCAGATGGCAGCCACAGGTGTTTTGTTTGGCCCCTTCTGCAGCAACAAAAATAACATTCAGGACCATAAAATTTCAGATAGAACGCTTCAGAGATTTCAGAAGTTATAGGATAGAAACACTGCTCATGATGGCTCAGCCACTTCTCCCCATCTGGTTGTTCATCTATAAACTTGAGATAACACTACTCAACTCATGGGGTTACTGTGAGATCAGAGTTCACACATGTGAAATGCGTCACATACACTGACATGCAGTAGGCTCCACAAATATTATTGTATTAGTAACTTTTTTTTTTTTTTAGACAGGGTCTGGCTCTGTTGCCCAGGCTGGACTGCAGTGGTGTGATCTCAGCTCACTGCAACTTCTGCCTCTTGGTCTTAAAGCCATCCTCCCACCTCAGCTTCCTGAGTAGCTGGGACTACAGATGCATATCACCACGTGTGGCTAATTTTTGTATTGTTTGTAGAGAAGGAGTTTTGCCATATTGCCCAGGCCAGTCACAAACTCCTGAGCTCAAGCAATCTGCCCACCTTGGTCTCCCAAAGTGTTGGGATTATAGGCATAAGCCACCACGCCCAGCCTGTATGAATAATTATGAACATGGGGCATTATCATAGAACGTTGACATCCCAAATATTTCCTCCTTTTGTCTTTCATTGGGTTTTAATACCAGCATAGAAAAATCAAAGAGATACAAAGTTGATTCTTCCCAGGAACAGGCAGATTCCGGAAGATACCACAGAGCCACTGGTGGCTAGAGGAGGGGAATTCTGACACTAAACATGCACACAGGCTCATGCACACACATCACACACACCTGTTATTCATGGAGGTGGCTATGGTGACCTTCAGGTGGACAGGAGTGGAAAAAAGGTGCTAACTGCCACTCCCAGGAGCTCTTCATCACAGTCACTGACATAGTTCTTGGGCCAAAAGCAACAGTCACTTCTCAGTCCCTGTGTTCTTTGACCCAGCTGGCTACTCCCTCCTCTTTGAAACCCTTTCTTCGCCTCACTTCTCCTGACTCACCTCCCTCTTCACCGACTGCTCTTTCTTGGTTTCTGCGGCTGGCTCTTCACGTCTCTGAATTCCACAGTTAGAGCAGCCCTGGGCTCCATCCTCAGACCTCTTCTCTATCTGTACTCCCTCCCTTGGTGAGCTCAACTAGGCTCATGGCTTTGAGTACCGGCGTTATGCTGATGACTTCCAAATTTGAATCTCCAGCCTAAAACATTCACCTGAAAGCCAGTCTTACATATCCAACTGCCTCCTCAGCATTTCCAGTGGATGTCTAATAGGATCTCAAACTATGTCCAAAACCAAACTGCATTTTTGGAGGAAGGTAAAGGAAGAAATCAAAGATAAGTTCCAATGATGTGTTCCCGAAACCAGAGGGAGGCTGCAAATTGGATGTGGATGGGGAGGCCCTCAGTGATACCCCAACAAGACAAAAATAAACTGCAGCTTGCGAACCATATCATTGGGAAGTGGGATTCTCTGTTTATGTCTCTTTGGTCCTCCCCTAGGCTATAGGAATGTCTATTTTAATCATTCCAGCCATGACTCAACTGAGCTGTCCTTTATGTATCAGTTAAGGTTTGGTTTGCCATGGTTAACAGGAACTCTGGAGGCCAGAGGTATGAGAAATCATCAAACAGCAACCCCCAAGGGGCAGATGAGCTTCGACGGCAGTTAGAGCTGCAAGAACCAGCTCGCCTCCTGACCAAAACATGCTTTCTTCTATGCTAAACCTGGAGGATTGGAATTCATTTTTATTAAAGGATGGGGCACTGCATTTTTATGCTGCTTAGGGTCTAAGATGTTACTGGGACTGATTGGCTAAACCAGTGCACAGTGGCACAGTGGCTCTTGCCTGTAATCCCAGCACTTTGAGAGGCCGAGGTGGGCAGATCACCTGAGGTCAGGAGTTCAAGACCAGCCTGACCAATATGGAGAAACCATGTCTTTTCTAAAAATACAAAATTAGCCGGGCATGGTAGCACATGCCTGTAATCCCAGCTACTCAGGAGGCTGAGGCAGAAGAATCACTTGAACCCCGGAGGTGGAGGTTGCAGTGAGCCGAGATCGTGCCACTGCACTTCAGCCTGGGTGACAGAATGAGACTCCATCTCAAAAAAAAAAAAAAAAAAAAAAAAAAAGTGCTAGGGGGCTAAGGGGCTGGGTGACTGTGACATTTAAGATGTCACAGTCTTTATCTATTTGGCCCTAACCTAAGCCAGCCAGAGGAAAGGGCTGAAAGAAATGACCTCTGCATTCTTTTCTGTGTCACCCCAAAGAAATTGACCAGAGGCTCAGATCAAAAAAGCTTAACCAATTGTGAGCCAACAATCAAGTTAGCAGCAAAACATGTTTCTCAAAAAAAAAAGAGGATGACTCACCCCTTGTCCCAGACAGGCAAGTGCAGGGATCACTTTCTCCTGAGCAATGCATTGCAGGATGCGGGGAGCTCCATAAAGTCCTCCCATACAGGAAGCCAGGGACGAGATGTATAAGCCCAAAAGGAACAGGAAGCCCACGAGGGATACCTATGTGAGAAACGGTTTTATTAGCCAGTGCCAGAGCCTGTTCCTGTGGCTTTCTACTCCCCCAGCACCCACCCACCTGCACCCCATGCAATCATCCACTGAGACCCTCCGATCTCTGGGATACAGTTTCCACATTCCCAGCCTCACCCCCATTCATTCCATGATTTCAGCTGAAATGTGATTTCACCACATTTCATATGGACTGCACAGGGGTCCTCCAATGAAGTGTCTGCCAGACTCAGCTGCAGGGCTTGCTAAACACAGATTTCTGGCCCCCTCCTAAGAGCTTCTGGTTCAGTAGGCTTGGGGTGGGGCCTAAAAATTTGGATTCCCCACATGTTCGCAGAGACCGCACTTTGAGAACAAACTGGCCAACTACAATGCTCATTGGCCTCTTGCCTTTAAGCTCACCCTTAAAGATGAGCTTAAATCATTCAGATGATTCACTCTGAATCATCCCATAAACCTCTGCGGGAGTGACCTCTCTGAACTCAAATCTGATCACACTGTCTCCACTGCAGACCTATCAAAGGCTCCCCCTGCCCTGACATGTAAGGCACTTCATGGTTTGTGATCTCTTTGGCCCCACACCCTGCACACTAAGAGTCTAATCAGCATGATTTTTCTGCCTATAAGAAGGCTCTGTCCACACCCACTAATCTACTCATTGTCTGTTAAACTCCTAATGTGCTTCAAAATTTACCGCAAACCTCACCTCCGCTGTGAGGCCATCCCCGGTTTCCCCAACTACAGTAGCCACTTCTCAGTGCTCCACAGCATCCCAAATGCGATGTTATGGCAGCACCTATCATGGTGCCCCCTCCACTAATCTGGAGGCTTCCTTTAAGCAGGTCTTCTGTCTTGTTTACCCTAGAATTCTTGGTGCCCAACACAGAAATATAAATGCTGAATGAATGAATGAATGATATCCATGACCCACAAGACACCAACAGATAGAATAAGAGGGCGCAGCTGTTCTTGGTGCCAACTTGCGAAAGATCGGGGTCCAAGGTCTTACTAGGACTGGTCAGCTAACCCAGTGCTGAAAGTGCGAAGGGGCTGGGGGGAGGCATGGCTGCTTGCCACGAATTCACCCTTCTGGGCCGATCTCATCTGTACCCACAAGGAAGCATCTTTGTTTTCTTATTTGAGGTGCCCTCTCCATTCTACTTTAGGCAAAGGGGCCAGAACTATACATTCCAAGTACTCATGTGTCCAATGCTTACAGACAGGTTAGACTTAACATTCAGCTTTGTCACCTGAACCCTTCTTGATGAAGGCTCTCGTCGGCCCATCTTTTACTTCCTCACATCAGCAAAGCACTGGATTCGTGTCATCAAGCTACACTGAACACAAGCCACTGGCTAGACCTCTATCCTGGCTCATAAATTATCACTGGAACAATTTGACTGACTGATGAATCTCACATCAGTCAGGACAGCTGATTGGGAAAAAAAAAACCACTTTGCTTAAAAAAGAATATATTTGTAGGTTGCTGAAGGTTCATAGAATCATCAGGAGACTAAAGGATGAGCCTCAGAAAAGGGCAGGACCAAGTCTGGAGGCATACCCAGCCTCTTCCCCAGGAACAGCTGGGCCAAGACACTGCCAGCACCCCAGCTGCCCTGTGGACGAATTCTCACCAGCTCTTCATCTCTGCCTCATTGGTTATAATGTGAGCACGCAATGGCCTAGTGTAGGTCAGAGGCTTGATGGACAAGAATAGGGTCCACTATGGAGCCCACCTTGTCTTTAATTTTGTGTTGATTACTTTCCCCTAACTTTATCATCTCACTCTTATCCCCAGAGAATCTCACCTGTCTCTTTTTTCCATGTCACAGGTTTGTCCTGCCCACCCGACTCATCGTTTTATTACTACAAGAAATCAATGTCATCTAGTGTTTCCGTCACTTTATGTGACCTGATGGCATTTTGTTACTTTCTGTCCTGTGGGATAGTTAGTTATGCTCGTGGCTTATCCTGCCAGCACCCTGAGCACCTCACAGATAGAACTGTATCATGCATCCTGGCTCCCCTCGTCTAGCACCTCATGCAGAATCTGGCAAACAGAGCTTAGCAGCTGAAGCCATGCAGCTTCACGACTTTGCTGTGATCGTGCCCCAGGTGCCTTACAAAACTGTTAGATACGCTGGGTCCATGATCAATCCTCAATCCATTCTGAGATGTGTATCTATTACCTTTATTTCTGTCTTCTCTACCAAACACATCCTATGTTAAATGTTTTTTTTTTTTTTTTTTTTTTTGAGACGGAGTTTCGCTCTTGTTACCCAGGCTGGAGTGCAATGGTGCAATCTCGGCTCACCGCAACCTCCGCCCCCTGGGTTCAGGCAATTCTCCTGCCTCAGCCTCCTGAGTAGCTGGGATTACAGGCACGCACCACTGTGCCCAGCTAATTTTTTGTAATTTTTAGTAGAGACGGGGTTTCACCATGTTGACCAGGATGGTCTTGATCTCTTGACCTTGTGATCCACCCGCCTCGGCCTCCCAAAGTGCTGGGATTACAGGCTTGAGCCACCGCGCCCGGCCGAATGGTTTTTTAAAAGTAGATTCTATGACAAAAGTTTAACAAGAAAGAGCCTTTTGAAAATTTAAGTCAGTAGTTCACCACTCTGGCTAAATGTAAGAATCACCCAGATTCCAATTTAATTAGTATAGAGTGAGACACAGAGTGGTCGATGTTTAGAAAGCTGTCCAGGTGATTCTAACGTAGAGCCTATGTGGTGAACCACTGGGCATATATTGCATTCTCCCCGCATAAAATTCTTTGGGAGAGTCAGGCAAGTTACCTCCTTGCAGAAATTTCACTGCTTCTTACCTAAAAGAGTATGTATATTTGATTTTTTAAAACTATTTTTCATTTAAGGCCTATTTACCCAGAGAAGGAATGAGTGGAAATGCCCCAGCCTGGCATCCTCCTAGTGCTGGACTAAACTCAGGAACTGGGTGAACCTCTGGAACCATCAGTACACGATATGGCGGCTTCCGTCTTTGGCCAGCCAGCCTTCCCAGAGATACACCCTGGGATTCCTCCAGAACTCTAGCAGCTGGGGTCAGACAGGGCCAGGTATAGCAACTGGTTTATGTCCCATTTGTCAATTGTGTAACATGATCTGTTCACTCACCACTTTTTAAAAATATAAACTATTATTCAGTCTGTTTGCTGAATAATATATGAAATGTTTGTCCCCACATCTAGACAAATTATAAAAATTTCATTCCATCTCTCTCCTGCCTAAATCCTGTATCTTTCTTTCATTTGTCATCCATCCATCCATCCATTTAAGAAGCATTTCCTGAGGACAGGTTATGTTCCTGGCATGGTGCTAGGCAGAGCGAGGCTTATAGACACAATGGCGAACCATGCAGCTCTGCTCCCAGCCCTCACAGAACTTAATCGTTTTCTCTACTCATATCAGACTAAAACTTGTGAAATGTGCCAGTGGAGGTAGAAGTGAATTTGAGAAGAGTTGTGTCAACAGTTCTTTTTACATGAAAAGTGATTCCCTTCTGGCATCCACCTGTTTGAGCCATCCCCCCGCCAAAAAAAAACTCTTTCCAAAATATTACATGGAGTGTGAATTACTGTGATTTCTTACAATTACTTCCATCCCTCTGCTCTTACTATTTTCTCCCAGCTCCCATTTGAGCTTTGGCCATTGAGGGACTCCACTCATTCACTGGCTGCTCTCCACTCTTGAAGGGCTGGATTTAAAGTTGTTTGCAAGGGGCCCGTTCTGTCTCATCTAATTCCAGTGGCCCCCTGACATCACTGAGGAGTACATCCTGAAACCCTTACAATGCCAAGTGTAGTAATAAGTCCATGTCTCAACAATGCTATGGTCTTTTTCTCCCACATCTCATTTCCGCAGAGTCATCAGTTTCCTAACACTCCACACTCCATGAATTGACCAACACCTCAACTTTCAGTCAAGTTTTACCTCTCACTTGAGAGCCAGTTTCCATAGACTGCTATGCTTCCTGAGAGGCAGGACTCTGTTTACGATGGAGGACAGAGGACACTCAGGCTGGCCCATTCACAGGTGCCGAGCAGCCTATGAGACTCACTCCCCTGTCACCAGTGCTGTCCCATCCCCATCTTCCCTGTACAGCTTGTGTCATGGGCTTCCAAGGTCCCTCTTGAATATGTGGAACCATGACTATTAAATCCAAGAATCAGACTTTGCTCTGTGGGATTCCCCAGTTTTTTGTTTTCAGACAGAGTCTTGCACTGTTCCCCAGGCTGGAGTACAGTAGCTCAATCTTGGCTCACTGCAACCTCCGTCTCCTGGGTTCTAGCAATTCTCTTGCCTCAGACTCTTGAGTAGCTGGGACTACAGGCGTGCACCACCATGCCTGGCTAATTTTTGTATGTTTTGGTAGAGACGGGGTTTCACTGTGCTGGCCAAGCTGGTCTTGAACTCCTGACTTTAGGTGATCCACCTGCCATGACCTCCCAAAGTGCTGGGATTAGAGGCATAAGCCACTGCACCCGGCCAGATTCTCTAGTTTTAACAACAATACTTTTGGGATATTTTTCCTTCTTAGTTTGCCCTTATTTTGCTAGTTAGCAAACCTCAGGGCTCCTAAGGTACTTGGTCTTCTTTATTTGTAATAAACATCTGTTTCCTGGACTGTATACAAGTTTATTTTAAAACATTTAATCTATTTAATTTCACCCCAACTAACAGTGTACAATTCTTTTTATAACTAAGTAATACTGAGATTGACTATTTTGGTTTTTAATATGTAATTAAATATGGTGGATTTGTGGGGAGAAAAAGTGTTCCTAAAATAAATGTGTTGATCTGTAAGGATATGCCCATAAGGAGTACGGAAGGGAGTTAAAATTTAATTAGCACCTACTATGTGCTAATTTATTATAATTAGTACCTATTAGGTGCTTTTATGGGTTACCTCAAAGCCACCACCATATACAAGACTTTTAAGAATGCACATACACCTGAGAGCAAGTTCCTCTGCGGAGGGGATTGAAAGTAAAAAGATGCTTCTTAGAGAAACTGAATTGAGAAACCAAATAATTAGAAATAGATCAGAGAAGCTGCAGGAAACCCAGAAACAGATTAACTGATCAGCTGCAGATCAGTATAAAGGAATCCGGGGCAGCCTGCAGCCACTGAAGATAATTGTTCTGGCAGAAAGCTCCCGAGGGAAAGAAAGAGGAGTGCAGTGGGGAGCTGCGTGAGAATGAGTGCCAAGGAGAGTATGTCAGAGACCTGCCCTGTCTCAGCGTCCAGAGGTGATGCGTGGGGAACACGAACAGAAGAAAGAGGAGAAATTGCTTTTTTCAGGCCCAGGAAAGCCCAGAGATGCGCTGGCTCCGAACTGAAGCCACAGCTAAGACAGGAAGCTGAGATGAACAGGTTATCAGGGTAGCAGGTTGTGTCAAGTGACCAAGTAAAGAGACTCCGCACTTGCACCTCCCAACCTATGTAGGTTGCCCGGTCCCATTCTCCGGGTACTGCCAATAAAAACATCTGTGGCCCAATTCACTGCCTGAGCACGGTACCTGCTCCTGCAGCAGAGTCAGTCCGAAGGAGAAAATGTGTGGGAGGAAACTCCTGTGTGGCCTCCTTTATGGGAGAATAGTGGGAAGCAGAAGACCAAGGTGCTGCTATTTTGGCATCATCGGGGTTGTTCCATCACTGCTCACTGACTTGCTGCACCTGCCTGTTTCTACTGAGAACCAAGAACAGTAGCTTTGCTCCTTTATAGCCTTTACAATGGCCTATTCCAGGAAACAGTCTCTTGTCCTCTCCAAGAACTCAGTCTCCACCTTTCATCCCAGTGTGTGCGTAATTACATTCCCACGTGCTGTTGCTGGGCCTGATGCAGCAGGTGCCCCCACTTGGCTAAGTGCTTGCCTACCTGCTCACCGTCAGGACAGGTGGCATTCCAAAGGAGGCTCCCCCCGTCCGTATGCCTATTATTGGGTGTGTGATTTCCACCCACAAAGGCTCTCTTGTGCTGCCTCTGAGCTGTTTTTACCCTACTGCTGTTTGTGGCCTTCCTTAGATATAAAGCTGCCTGCCCTCCCACATACCCACTCTGAGCTTTCCCTTGCCAAGCAGCGGAAGGAGAGAAGGGAGGTGCCGCGGCCCAGGGGATCATCAGATCAGAGTGTCTAAAAGGTGGAGGGACCTCTGTGAAAGAAAGCACGAGAAAGGAGCTTTTGAAGCAGGCAGAGCTGGCCAGCCACTGGCAAGCTGCAGACAGCAGGAAGCACTTCGCCCAGTCAAACCAGCCTCACCCAGGCTGCTACCTGAGGGCTTCAATTCCTGTAATGCAGCCAAGCTTTTCATTCCATAGCTACAGAACAGACCCTTGGGAGTGAAACTCCAGATGGAAGCACACATGTAGATACAAATGAGGGCTACAGACTCCTGAGAGCAAACCTTGCCACCTGGGGGGTCTGTGACCTTGGATGCTGGAAGGTGAATATCCATTCTCCCACTAACTGAACTGCACCGCCTTTCAAAAAAACGTGCCTTTATACTAAGATCAAGAGCCCTGAAAACAAATAATCACCTTTGCATGGGTGCCCACAAGCCTTAAAAAGAAACCTGTACTATTGTGAAAACCAAGCTCAAATGTTATCTCTCAAAAGAAAATTCAGAGTTTCCTGTCTCAGGTTGCTCCAGGCACTGGCCTTCCATGAAGATCAGCAGGGCTGCTTTACAAAGCCTCACACCAAGAGAAAATGGTATTCTATCCTAAAATATAGGAGCTCTTGCCTGTAATCCTAACACTTTGGAAAGCTGAAGTGGGAAGATCACGTAAAGCCAGGAGTTCAAGACCAGCCTGGGCAACATGGCGAAACCCCATCTCTACAAAAACATTTTTTAAAAAATTGAGTGTGGTGACGCATGTCTGCAGTGCTGGCTACTTGGGAGACTGAGTTATAGGAGAATCACTTGAGCCCTGGAAGTTGAGGCTATAATGAGCCGTCTTCAAGTCACTGCTCTCTAGCCTGGGTGACAGGGTGAGATTCTGCCTTTAAAAAGTTAAATTTTTAAATTAAAGAAGTACATAAATATAAGCAGCGCTACTCAGGAGTTGACAGAAAAACTCCCTAGCCAACTACATTTCTCTGAAAAATAATGGGAATCCCAGGGTCTACTTTTTCTCCAAGAACTTAAAGGAGGGTAGGAGTTTTTGGGAATTTCCAGAAAATGTCTGGAAATCTTACTCATGTAGGATCTAGGATGTCAAATAAATGTCCTTGATGTCACATGACCTCCAGCCTGCTAACTGTGGTGGAACGCCAGGAATCCACTAATCTTCTCCTGGCAGGGTGCGGACTCCAGAAACAGAGATGTTGCAGCCAAGTCAGCCCGGGAGTGTCCGAGATTCTCAGGAAAACCAAAGGGGTAAAGGACCTCAGGGGCAAGGAGGGCCTCGGTGCTCACCCAGGTCCTGGGCTTCCTCCCGCTCCCTCCACCTCTGCCTGTCTCTAGCCTCCTTCTCCACTTGCTGCTTCTGAGCAGCACTGTCGCTTCTTCCTGGAAGGTGAAGCTATTAACAAAAGCAAGGAACTTGCTTAGCTGGGAATTTGGGGCAACCAGATTCTTCTGTTTCTGTCCTCATTTTCCACAGGAAGAGATGTCCCCATTAGCTAGCCCCTCATATTCGTGAGTCTCACTGGGCATCGTTATCTGTTTCTAGAGATCCCCAAGCCAAGCCTGTACCTTCTCCATCTTCTCTCTTCTCCACCACAACCCAACCCTCGATTCCTGGGCTTGAGACTATATGGAGGCCAGGCATGGTGGCTCAAGCCTGTAATCCCAGCACTTTGGGAGGCTGAGGCGGGAGGATCACTTGAGGCCAGGAGTTTGAGACCAACCTGAACAACATGGTGAGACCTCATCTCTACCAAAAAATAAAAATAAATTAGCCTGGCATGATGGTGTGTTCCAGCTACTTGGGGGTCTGAGGCAGGAGAATCGCTTGAGCCTGGAAGGTTGAGGCTACAGTGAGCTGAGATTGCAACACTGCACTCCAGCCTGGGCAACAGAGTAAGACCCTGTCTCAAAAAATCAATTAATTAAATGTTTATAAGACTATATGGATTCCCAGACAGTACCACAAGGGGAAGGTGGCCATTTATTGGTAAAAACAAATAGATGACTGCAACAGACTGAGCCCTTCGAGTAGCCTGTGCTACTCACTCACCTTTTCGGCTATCAGGAAGTCATAGCGAAGGGCCTCTCGAGTGCAGATGGCGCCCAGGAGGAAGACGAAGACGATGTACAGAAACCACCTGCAAAACCCAAGAGCAGAGCAGAGCTGCCCCCCGCTCACCTCACCCAGCCCCATCCACTCCCCAACTCAACCTTCCATTTCCTATGGGAACCTGCCTCAGAATGAGAGAGAGGCCAGTCATGAAGCCTCCCCAGCTGGCTTGAGAGGACACTTTTCGTACTATTTCTCTTCTGGCATATTTCTTACCAAAAAAGGGGTACCATTGTTCTGTTTCTTTTTTTTAAATGTGTGTAAAAATATGGGAGGCTTCACGAATTAGCATGTCACCCTTGCACACAGACCATGCTAATCTCTTGATTGTTTTAATTTTAGTATACGTACTGCCGAAGTGAGTGCTGTTTTATCTCATTCTTGCATTAAAAAAAAAAAACACACAAAGGGCATTCAGAGTAGAGAAGCAGGAGGCCCAGTTGCCTCTGGGTTGCCAGGATTCAGGCCAGGGTTGCCCGGCAGCCTCACACCCCAGCCTCCTCCAGCAAAAGAACAAGTTGATGATCCTTCAGGCCTCTAAGTCCCACTGGCTCAGATAAAAAGGGAAACTAAAGTCAAAAGGCAGAGAGCAGTGGCCTGGCTCTGTCCCCAAGATGCCCTGTAACCTTGAACACGACACAGGTTCCTGTGGTCTCCTCACTCCCATCTTGACCCAGGATGGGCCAGGGGTTCCTCCTAGAACCTCCCAGCTGGAACCAGAAACAAGTCAGGATCCTCATACAGAACCCTCTTTCTTTTATTTCCTTCCCAACACTCAACTCTGTCTCCATTGGCTTTATTTTCTTCCCAATGTTATTGCCTTATTTTGCACAAAATAGCCTGATGCTCTGTGCCAGGCTGATAGCAATGGTGTCAATGCAACGAGCTAAGAGCAAATTCAGTGTTTGTGAAACAGCTACATTAATATTTTCTAAATATTGTGGTTAGAATAACACGGGCCCTTTTCACTTCTCAACTCATTGTCTCTGGTCTCTGATCTCATTGCCTCTTTACACTCACCCAATGAAGGGCAGAGAAGTTTCTTCCTGTGGTACAGAGAGAAACAGAAGATTCTAAAAGGCCAGAAATAGACCCAAGGTTACCCAGCCTGCTCATGTGGGTGGCACAGTGTGAACAAAAGCCCCAGAGGCCTGATGGCCTAGGGCAGCTGGAGGGGAGGCTCACTGGGGGAAGGAGAGCTGGGTGCTGAGCTTCCACTGTGTGCCTTCTACTCTCTCCCCCAAAGTCTATGAAGCACATACTCTGTCATTATCCCCATTTCATGGGAAAGGAAATGGAGGCTCAGAGAGCTCAGTAAAGTGTCCAGAGTCATGCAGCCAATCAGCGGCAGAGCTGAGATGCCAGCCCGAATTCATCTGATTGCAAAACTCTTCATCTTTATGCTCCCTCCAGTGATCCTGGAAACTCGGTGGTTAAAAATCCCCAAGTTCAACCAGGGGGTGGGGGAGGGATGGAGGCGGGAGGCTGAGGAAAGGAAAGAAAGGATTCGATCTGTGATCTGGGTCCTGACACTCCTCCTCGGCAGCATTCCCAGGCAGGGCGCATGAAAGGGCAGTGTCTGAACCCACCAGACGTGAATTTTCCAGCCCACCGAGTGTTAAAAGAATGATCGTAATATGAAATAGTCTGGTCACAGTCGGGGCACTCTGAGAACAAAAGGGGCAATCCCCTCTTCTGCCTGGGGTTTTCTCTCCCACTCTCCAGCTCGAACTGATTGCCATGAGGGGAACTTACGAGATGCCAACAGCTGCCAGGGAGCCCAGGGGAATGCTGGCGGCAGGCTCCCTGAGGTCGCCCCCCATGTTGAAGCCGGCCATGACTCCTGAAAGACACCCAGATGGGGAATGGGGTGACACAGCCTCCTCCACACATCGCCTCCCCTAGGGCTGCCCCTTCCTCTCCTCCAGGACCCTCTCCTGGAAGCTGTCCCATGGCAAGCCCTCCAGCTGCAGCTCTGCACACAGGCTGCTTTTCAGTCTCCCCTGGCAACCGGGGAGGCATCCCTGTGGAATGAAAGGGACCTTTGTGGGTTAGGGGAGGCTCAAAAGGAAGGCCCTTCCAGCTCCAAAAGCATCCTACTGCTCAGAGCAAAGCAACCAGGGGGAGGAAGGCAGCATGCAAGGCACACAGAAGTCCTGGGCTGCTTGCTGAGCTGGGACAATGCCCTGGAGAGGTTCAGCATTACAAAGGTCTGGCAGCCTCCTGCTCAGTGGCTTTCCTTTCCTCTGCTGCCTGCTGATTGATTCCATGGGAGTGTCCTGTGTCCTTGGGGTCAGGTACCACCCTCCAAGCCCCTGAGCTACCCAAGGGTTCGAAATAAACTCCAAGAAAACCAATTCTGATGCGACTGACATGGAGTCACAAGCTCCTTTCCATCCTCACCTCTCTTCTGCAAGAACATGAATGAAAATGAATTAATCCATGACAGTGAGGGACTCACAGCACAGTGCTGCACAGTGCGGTGAGGTGGGGATAACAAATATACGAGAGCAACAAGACAAAGTGTTCTGAACATCCGGTGAAGATCCAGCCCACAGTGACCTCACGACTCAGAGTGATGGGCTGCCCGGGTCAGGAAAGCCCTCTAGAGGAGGTGCATCTTGAATGTAGCCTTGAAAGAGAGATTCGAATGGGCTTAGGGATAGGAATGAATCTAACACCATGATTTGTGAACACTTGCAACCTGCCTGGGCCTGTGTCAAGTGCTTTATGTGCTTTTTAAAAATCCTGCTTAATCCTCATGACAACCTCATCAAAAAAGTAGAATTATTTCCTCATATGATAGAAAAGTGCTCAAAGAGGTTAATTAAAACAGCCTAAGGTCACATATTTAATAAGTGGCAAAACTAAGATTCAACCCTGGCCTGTCTGACTGAAAATTATGCTCTTAATGCCTCTGCTATCATGCGTCACAGAATCCAAGTGGAGCACAGTGAAGTGACAGTTTGGAACCAGAAAGTGAAAGTGGCAGCAGGGGAAAGAGGGTAGGTATTTCAGAGAGAAGCTTGAATGCTGGCCCACGGATGCGGGCTGCATGTACTGTCACCCAGCACCTCTCCTACTCATAGCCTTGACTATCTACTTTGGGTAAAGGAATAGAGTTTATCCAAAGTAGACAGTCAAAGCTATGAGTGAAGATTTAGCCCAGTGTGTTTATAAATGCTTGTTTAGAGCACTGGGAATGAGAAACTACCTAATGTCTAAAGATAGAGGATTGGTGATATAAGTGATGATATGGCTTTCAATAAATACTAGGTCTCAGGATATTGTAAGAGATATGCTGTGACATGGAAAGATTTTTACAAGATTTTTTTAGTTTTAAGAAGCATGTTAGAATACAGAACACATATGGTATGAGCCCATTGTTATAAAAATATATAGAAAAAGGAACTTGAACGTGTTTTAAAACATTAACAATGTTATTTCTGGGTGAGAAAATAACAGGTCATTTTTATTTGACGGTTTATATTTTCTCAATTTTCTACAATGATCATTTTGAAACATAGGAAAACTTTTAAGGTTTTTTTTTTAAATGTCATGTTAGGCACATTCTCTTTCCTCTCTTTCCCCTCCTCTCCAAGATCCTATTAAAAGCATAGTAAAGGGGAAAAATGGATCAATTCCTATAAGCAAAGAAAAGCTGGGAGGGAGACCCTAAGTAGACGGAAGGTTCCCACAGATACCTGGAACACAGAACACAGAAAATGGAGAAAATGACAGAGGAAAAGGGAAGGAAAGAAAGCCTTGGAATGCTTCTCTGCAAGATCTGAATACACGGAGGAAACCAGGGCTGGATGTTTGCACTCGAAATGAATCTCTGCTCAAGAATCAACAGCACTCACAAACTCTTCTCATCAAGGTAGGGCCCCAGCATGGAGACAGACCTAAACACATGACAGTAGGGGAAATCCATGCCTGCAACCAAGGTCACCCGATGTGTGATGAAAACCAGCAACAAATAAACAAATATATGCACAAATAGAAACAGAACAACCCATGCTGAAAGAAACATATAAATCAGAATACAGAGAGAATTAAAAGAAGATACTAATTAGTAGCTCCAGATACATCCAAGAAGAATGTTCTATCTATAAAACAAAGTGCTATGAAAAAAAATCCAAGAACAAGAAAGAACTTTTAGAAATTAAAAATATGATCACTAAAATTAAAAATGCAATAGATTTAAGGGCCAGGCGTGGTGATTCATGCTTGTAATCCCAGCACTTTGGGAGACCAAGGCAGAATGATCACTTATGGCCAGGTGTAGTGGCTCACACCTGTAAACCCAGCATTTTGGCAGGCCAAGGCAGGCAGATCATCTGAGGTCAGGAGTCTGAGACCAGACTGACCAACATGGTGAAACTCTGTCTCTACTAAAAATGCAAAAATTAGCCAGGCGTGATGGTGCACACCTGTAATCCCGGCTACTTGAGGGGTTGTGGTAGGACGATCGCTTGAGCCCAGGAGGTGGAGGTTGCAGTGAGCAGAGATCATGCCATTCACTCCAGCCTGGGTGACAGAGCTCTGTCTCAGGAAAAGGAAAAAGAAAAAGAGGAAGGGAGGAAGGAAGAAAGGAAGGGAGGGAGGAGAGGAGGAGAAGGAGGAGGAGGAGGAGGAGGAGGAGGAGGAGGAGGAGGATCCCTTGAGGCCAGAAGTTTGAGACCAGTTTAGGCAACACAGTATCTCTTCATAAAATAAAACAGTTATCCAGGCATGGTGACACACACCTGTAATCCCAGCTACTCAGGAGGCTGTGGCAGAAGGATCTTGAACTCCTTGATCTCAGGAGTATAAGGCTGTGGTGAGCTATGATCACACCACTGTACTCCAGCCAGGGCAACAGAGTGAGACCCTGTCTCTAAAACAAACAAACAAACAAACAAACAAACAAACAAAAAGATTTGAAAGATAAAGTTAAGTAAATATCCCAGTATTTAAGACAGAAAGGTAAAGAAATAGAAAATACAGGTGAAAAAAAGAATGAAAAAAAAAATCTATATCTAAATGCATCATTGTTTCATTTCAGGAGAAATCCTAAATGCTTCCAAAGATTAAAACATTTACAAAGCAACAAAAATTAGATTGGCATCAGACTTCTCATCAGCAACACCAAACATTAGAAAACAATGGAGCACTGATTTTAAAATTCTGAGGGAAAATTATTTTGAGACTATATTTTAGCTAGATTACCAATTGAGTGGTTAAATCCAGACAAGAGTTCAGAAAATTTACTTCTCCCATACTGTTTCTAAGGAAGATACTAAAGTATGTTTTCCAGCAAAATGAGGATGTAAACCATGAAGGAGAAACACATGAGATTTAGAGATCAGTGGCGATAACTGAGGAATGCAGTGAAGTTCCAGAACAAGGCTGCACGGCAGAGAAACCACCAGGGACTAAAGCAAAAACTGGAGGCTCCGGGGGGAGCCCTGTGACAGGAAATACTTTCAGCACGACGGGCAATAGAATTAAACTAAATGATTTTTAGGATATCCCGACTGCACATTTTGGCAACAACATAAAAAGAAAAGTTATTGAAACTCCAGGAAAAGTGAACAAGAAAGTTAAGGTTTACAAAGAGCTAGAAGGGGGATATTGAATGTCTCCCATACAAAGAAATGGTAAATGTTGGAGTTGATGGGTATGCTAACTACTCTGATCTGATCACTGTACATTACATGTATCACTACACATCCCAAAAATAGGTACCATTGTTATGTTTCAATTTTAAAATTTTTTAATTAAAATTAAAATCTTAAATTTTAAATTTAAATTAAAAAAATAAAAATTTAAGTTAAATATTTAAAAAAGAAAGGTAAGGACTAAGTATGAAGCAAACCAAAATGTGACATGATTTTAAACAACTAATAAAATGTTAGAAAAGTTCTCTCATTTGACCGTGGTATAGGAACTTTCTCTCCTAAATGGCACAAGAACCATATGAGAATCACAGAGAAGAAAATGAAATTCTACCCCACCACTTTGCTCTTCAGTGAGCAACAGCTGCAGAGTCATAATCCTGTATTTGCTTATTGTTTAACTTCTAAAACTGGCCTATTCGCAGAGTACAGAGGACATAACTATTGACATGGCTTGGATCTGTGTCCCTGCCCAAATCTCATGTTCAATTGTAATCCCCACGCTAGAAGTGGGGCCCGGTGGGAGGTGATGGGATCTTGGGGGTGGATCCTTCGTGAATGGTTTAGCACCATCCCTTTGGTGCTGTTTTTGTGATAGAGTTCTCACAAGATCTGGTTGTTCAAAAGTGTGTGGCACCTCCCCTCTCTCTCTGGGTCCTGCTCTTGCCATGTGAAGACGCCTGCTCACCCTTTGCTTTCTGCCATGAGTAAAGGCTCCCTGAGTCCTCCCTAGAAGCAGATGCTGCTATGCTTCCTGTATAGTCTGCAGAGCCACGAACCAATTCAATCTCTTTTTTATACATTATCCAGTCTCAGGTATTTCTTTATGGCAGTGCCAGAATGAACTAATGCAATTATGAGTGCAAAACAGAATACAAATATTATCTATCTTGACAATGTAAAAGGCTATGGCTAACTGATATTAGGAAGTGAAAAGAGGAAAGAGAAGGAGAAGGAAAAGAAAAAGCACCAATATTTTCATCATAGGAATGTAGAAAACAAAAATATGTAAGCCCCATGTTCATTCACCAGCCCTGACTTGAATCTTACAAGCTTCAATTAGTTTAATAAACAATTTCTTTTTTTTTTTTTTTTGAGACATGGTCTTGCTTCTTCACCCAGGCTGGAGTGCAGTGGCGCAATCTTGGCTCACTGCAACCTCTGCCTCCCAGGTTCAAGCAAT